GCAGGGCTTGGGGGGCTGGGGCACACTATCAGGAAATCTGGGAGCCCCTTACCGAGAGAGCTTGACTCAAGGGGGAGACGTGCCCTCATCATAAAATTAGAGATACATACACACACACTTGTCATTCTCTAAAGTCTTACATCTGTAAGGCTGGTAAACAATAGGAAAGAACAGAGCAAAGTTTATACATAGGGACATATATATTCCAACAAGGAGTCTCCCAGCCACACCCTCTTGTCCAATTCGATACAAAAGCACTAAATGAAGATCTGACTTAACCTAAGTCCATGGAGAAAACAAAAGGGGAAGCGGACACAAACCGAAGGACACAAACCTGAGAACCCTGAGAGCTCAGACCACACACGGGGATAAACTTGGCGTGTGCTGGGCTGGTGAGCACAGGAGGTTTAGATTTTGCTCAGCTCCCTGAAGCACATGCTAAGGGGCCGTGGAAGAGCCACAGAAGTGGCCAGCACAGGGGAGCCCCCGAGGAGAGCGGACCACACTGGTGTGCTGACCCCAAGGGCAGGGGGAGGTCACGGCTGGGTCCTCCTGCCAACGCTGCAGGGCTGGCCCTGAGCTTGGAGGAAGGGGTGAGCCACCCCCACGTGTAGCTGAGGCCCCGGACCCGCAAACCTCCTGCAGAAGCGCCCACCCTGCTGCAGCCCCGTGTCTGAGCCGCCCCCGGGCAGCCTGGGGGGTCACTCCCTGGGCCACACTCTGCCCTCTCACCCCCGTTCAGACCCAGGTCCTGGCAGGGGTGTGCCCTTTCTAAAATACTCCCTCTGCTGGCGACTCCGTGTGCAGCTAACAAACCCTCTTCTTGTCTGCCATTCATCTATTTCCTCCCACCACAAGGTGAGAACCATCAAGAGGAGGACTTGCCTTGTTGAGGCTATGTCCCGGACCCTGAAATGGCACTCTTTTTTTTCTGAATGAATCAGTTCAGCTGTTTCAAGAGGAGATATAAATTGCTCATAACTTCCCTCTCTTCTTCCCCTTTCTTTTTCTGTCTCCTCCACACCACTGTCATGATCACAAAGACAACTTAGCATTTATACAGCATACCACAGTGCTTAGAAAACACGTTTACCTTCATTTTATGATTAGGTTAGGGGCTGGTTAACATAGCACTGTTACTACCCACATTTCTAGTTATAGAAACCTGGAAACTGAACCTGAGAAAAGTGAATACATGGCTTGATCAAGGTCCCACAGCACAGCAGGCAGGTCAATCCAGAAATACGCCATCCTCTACAAACATCCTTCAGTCCCCCGTTCAGAACAAGGCAAGAAGCAAAGCGTGGCAGACATCATGGAGGAAGGGTGCAGCCAAGGATGGGAGCGGGCCAGGGGACACCACCCCCAGAGGACCCCAGATGCTGAGCCGAGGACTTTTCATGGCAGTCCTTAGGCCACAGAGGACAGGTGAAGACTTGGGGGAAGTAAGATAATCAGATATGTCTTTAAGGGAGATTTTCCCTGCCGGGAATATGGCAATCAGAATGGATTAAAAAGGAACATTGCAACGGAAAAGGATCCTCTCCTAGTCCGAACAGGAAGTGCTGACAGTTTGAGGAGGACAGAGAAGAGAGTGGAGAGCGTGGGAGACAGTGTGTGTGGTGGGGGCAGAAATAGAACTAAAGGCTTCTGAGATGTTTTTTTTTCCCTCCAGTTTTGAAGATCTGGACATGATCTGAACATCCAACAACATCATCTTTGGTATGTAATTTTTAACCCCAAATTTAAGGAATTATTATTGCTCCATATTGACGTATTTTTAAGTTAAAAACTTGGTTCTGAAAACTGGCTGGGAACATGGCTGTCTATACAACCTTATCTGCTACAGAAAATGTGACAGAACCAGAGATGTTACTGCAGGTTCACATGTTATCATGGAATTAAATGATACATATTAGAGATAGAAACTGGAGTGACAACTAAAAAATTCAAAGATTTGATCATCTCTTAAGGATTGTTAAATACAAAAAACTTTGGAAGTGTGTTCCTTATAATGATTAAATCAAAATAAGTGAAAAAAATTTGATTTTTGAAAAAAAGACATTTTAAAATAAAATATAAATGCATAATTACAGTTTCTAGAAATCCTAGGTATTTCTGTCCTATTGACTTAAATTCCTGGAAAAAAATCTCCTTTACAAAATTAAATGAAATTTAGCTCCAGAATAGAATTCATTCAAAGTAAACTTTTTTGAATTTTCTTTTATGAACATACACATCTCTTTTATTTGCAGTTTCATAATATTTAGACCTGAACTGTGAATAAATCATGCCCTACAGATTTAATCCTCAGCAAAACCAGAAAAAAAAAAACAACCAACATACAATAAAGCATAGAGCTTATCAAATTTTCTGTGAGAAAAATAAATTTATGTAGGTGACCACATTTTCAAGTACTTTTTGGAACCAATTCTTAAAAGCAATCTTTTATTTTTAGTTTTTTAAACGGAAGTACAGTTGATTTATAACAGGTGTACAACGTAGTGATTCAGTATTTCTATAGATTATACTCCACCTAAAGTTATTACAAAATAATGGCTAAATTTTCCTGTGCTGTACCATATATCCTTAGTATTTATTTTTAAAACAATCTTTCAAATTTGCTCTTAAAAACAAAAGTATAAGTCAATAACACAGGAGGGCAATAATTTTTTAAAAGCAAAAATTAAGGTTAACCTGTCCACAAATGCAAGTCTGTGTCACAATTTCTATCCTGTTATTTTATACATATTCTTTGTTAGCAAAGAATTTTTCCTGATCCTTCTACATAAGATTTTTATTGGGTCCAAACACCTTGTTGGGCTAGGTTCAAACTTTAATTCTTGATATTCGACGAACTTTAACTTCAGTTTGAAACCATCAAAATTTCTACTTCACAGAAAAGACAGGCAGAAATACAAGATGTTTTCTTATGTTAAGAATACTTTTCTCAAAATAACACAGAAAACAAAAATACTTGAGAAAGAAATTATTTTCCTATTGATTCATTCATCAAAGCAATCAGTCTCATTGCTACTTCCTCACTGGCTGTGCCTCAGGTGTGCCTCAGAGTGTTTTATGATTATGGGCATTCCCCAATTCATGTGTGTGTGTGTGTGTGTGCGCATGTGCACACACATATAAACTACATACAACTACATGACCCTACGTGAACTGGTTTAGATAAAAACTGACATTAGAAATTCTTAATTATTAAATCTATTAAAATTTTGCTCTCTATAATCACATAATTTGGAATAATATATCACCTAAACCTAGAGATGCATATACATTTGTAAACCCCATTAAGAACAGCTGTAAGAAGCAGTGGCAGGCAAGCTAAAGAAGTACACTTCCAAAACTGGTTTCACATAATAATGCTGGATCTTCAGGGTCAGGCAACTACAGCATGCACAGAGCGACAGCCGCAGAGCAGCATGTACACAGTACACACGCGTGTGCGGGAGCTGAGGGCACGCGCAGTTGTGCATGCGTCCGTGTGTGCGTGTGTGTGTAATGATGACCCAGCATTTTTAAGTATAATAGATTACAGACAGCGTGCTGTCAGGACATTCCGTTCAGTTAAGTAACAAAGTCAGCACAGGTTATCTTTCCTGAGGGCCAGTGGCACTGGCTTGGAACAGTCTGAGGTTTTCTTCACAGAAGTCCTCTACTATTTGCACTGTAAGGATTGGAACTTCCATATAAAACTTTATTTAAGTGCTATGCAAATTCATGCAGTTCTCACAGAATTTAATATCAAATTTCCCTACCCCCCTCAAAATTGCAATGTTCTGTGAGAATAAATAAGAAGTGAAAGAAATAACTAAAGCAGTATTACTCAGCATCAGTTGAAATTTTATTTTCTTCAAGTACTAGACAAAACTGAAACTCTGTGTGGAGGGAAAAGTATTATCTTCCCACCACTCCTTAATCTAGGGTCCAATGCTCTGTCATCCACCAAATATTGACTATGTGCTACACACCATCCTGGATGCAGAAGAATCAAGCAACAGGTTCAAGGTCTCACAGAGCCTCAGCGACACAAGTCAGAAAACTTTAAAACTGTCTAGTCACCTAATTTGGACCCTCGTTTTATTATTTTGTCACTTAGTGAAACTCATTCCTCATCAGACCATTTAATTTTTATTTCTCACTTAAAAACAATAACTTAATTTTTAAAAATCAATTGTTTTCAATGAAATTATGGCCACAAAGATGAGGCATCATTACAATAAAAGCCAAATTATTTTTATCTTAATTCTTATTTTGATGGTTACCATTTTGTCAAAGTCTTATGTTACAAGGAAACTATGATTTGAAAACTTTTAGGAGAAACTCTATCATTCCCTTTAAGTTATTCAATCTAAAAATTATTTCTTCCCAGTAATAGCTATGTTAATGGAAAACCAGTTTACATTAAGGTAATGCTGGACTGGCTACCTTCAGTTCTGTTTTAGGTACAAAGGACACTGGTATGTTATCAGCTCTAGAATCAGTAAATTACAAGTGTCTTCTATTGTACTCTTAAAATTTAGGGGAGTATTTCCTCCCGAGCCACAGATCATCTGTAGGTCCCTCCCTAGAGCAATCACAACCACCTACGCCGCTTTAATAAATCTGCAAACTACTCTAACATTTTTAAATGGTCAGGTGAGGTCCTCTTTCAAGATATGGATTATTCTTCATACTATCTTAATGTTATCAAACATAAAATAAAAGGGAGGGTCCAGGGCAACAGTTAAAACCAGATTTGTTCACTGGCATTTTCTTTTACTAAGTGACTGCCTGATGGTCAAAGAGAAGTGTCCAAGTGTCACGTGAATGGACACATTATACCTGATAGGTTTCAGCTCAGGACCTGAAGATTTTTTAAATGTTGATAGTTTTATTTAGACAATAAGAGCTGGCATATAATTCGTATGTCCCTTATATTTAAATCACGTGGGTGGGGGTGGAGGGAAGCGGATAGATAACTGAAATTATACTGTGTCTCTTACCTAAAGAATGTGCAGCTGTGGTTTTGGAGCTGAAAAAACGGCCAAGCCCAAGATCTCCAAGCTTGACCACCCCAGTGGCCGTAATGAACACATTAGCTGGTTTAATGTCTGTGAATAAAAGAAGGCATTGGGTGAAAAATGATGTCAGTGTAGGTATATTCAAGGGATTAAAAATACTTTTCATTGTAGAACTTAAAATATATCTTAAAAATGAAAGTCAGTTTGAATTCTGAACCAGTTATTTATTTTGAGTAATTTTCACATATCCTAGTATTTCTGAGTTCTCGGTCCTTTGATAGACAATCATCAATACTAGATGATGAGCACCATTAATTTTCATTTAAAATGCATTTTTTCCATTTTCAAATGAACTTCTGTGAAATTCAAAGCAGAAAATAAATGTGTGCCCTTCTATCAATTTTAAATATCCTACTAAATAGTAATGTATTGACATGTTTACATAAAATATAAAATCAAAACAGATGCAGATAATTACTTAGATGACATTATTTTAATTGCTTAAGTCAACTATACCGAAATTTTTTACATCCCAAAATGAAGGGATCACTGCCTCAGTGATGTAACCTTCACACATTTGGTCTGACCATTTGACTGAGAATCATGAATATATTATGAGTGAATGCTGAACATTAAAAGTCTAAGTCATTATAAGGTATACTGTTCATTAAAAAAAAAAAACAACTCTTACTTATGCATATTCAACTACTTTCCTCCATCTATTTTTTTTTCTTTTACTTTTACCAACATAACCAGTTAAAAAAGTTAAACAGAAAAATAACTAATTCTCATTCTTATTTAAAACCAAGTACGGCTTTACTTAAAGGCTTATCATTCTGGTACTAATAAGATTGTAATTTGGAAATAAATCACCTAGGAAAGCATGATATCACACAATGACTGGAAGGAATTTATGCGTAAACTGCCTAGTGGCTTGTGACCGTTAGAGCAACGTGAAAAGCTTCTCAAGCCTGGACTCACCCCGGTGCATGACTCGTCGAGAGTGCATGTGCTCCAACGCACTGCACAGCTGCACAAAGTATTTCCAAACAGTTCTTTCAGGAATTAGCCTCTTTTGTTTCTTAAAATGCTGTTTAAAAATTAAAAAGAAGATTAAAAAAAATTTCAAACTAGATTCTGACTTAAGTCAGAAAAACACCTATTCTCATCTACCTATTAGAAGCTAAAAAACATATTTTTTGCAGTGAAATGATACCAGGATTTGCACCTGATATCATACCTTAAATTTCTCCCTACTGTATCTAAAGTCAGCACAGGCCATATCAGGCTACATCTCTGTGATGTCCACCTGTTTCAAAAATTTAACATCCATATAAGGTGATTTCTTATCTAAAAGGAGGATGTCAAATTTAAGAATAGCCAGAATAAGAAAGTCTAGAGACCTGGAGGTAATTATATTCATTACAAGACGGTTCTTCTCTTGACAGAATGTAGTGAAGTAGAATTCCTTTTAAATACTGAACCACCCTTGGTGATTTGAAATATCACTTAATTTATTAAAAATTAAATAAATAAGAGGGAGTTGCATGAAAAGTTTTACATGAGTATTTCCACTGCATATTCCAAGTCAAACCTGCACTTTGCTTTGAATGAATGAAACTAAACATGGGAGCAAAACATGACAGAAAGACCAGGGTGGAAAGCTGAGCGTGAACATCCTAGTTTGGAAAGACTGCATCATCATGCATAAGAGGGGCCGTAACTGAGTCACTGCAAAACCCAAGGGACATATGTGTGCCCATTTTTCTGCATTATATTTGCTAGCAGAATATACTACTAATATGCTCATTCAAAAACAAAGTTCTTAGTTTCATAGGATTTGTAAGGATTCTTTACATAAAAATTATTTTTCAAAACCAAAAATGTAACTGGTTTCTTAGCAAAATTTGTAAATGACCAACATGAAAAAGTATTGCATTTAAACAAATTTTCAGACAATTTTAACTTTTTTTTATATTTACATAGACATCAACATTTAAACATGTGCTTTAATGCACTTTATCTGATGACGTGACATTTTGTTTTGATTTTTTTGGTAACTGAATATGGAGAAATGGTATTTCAGATGATTCCAACACAACACACTCTGTCAGTCCCCACCCCTGTGACCAGGCGAGGGCAGGCGGAAAGGAAGGGCAACAGAGGGAACGAAACCTGTCTGCATGCCTCCTTCACGCTCCGCACGGGATCAGGTCCACTGACACACACACTCAGTGCACCGAAGGCTAACTCTTACGGAAGAGCAAATCCCTTCAGGTTAATCTTTATCGCAACACGTGGTATAGAAACGAAGTTATTAGCAACTTCAATGACTATTACCTCAGTAGCAAAAAAAACAAGTTAACAATCAGATGACCAGGTAATTAAAAAGCAGATCAGGATTATACTAAAATGGTAAAAACTTCCCAGATCATGTTTCAATGTTAAATCTTATTAACCGCAGCCTTCGTCAGCATCAGTTTTCATTCTATGGGGGCAACACTGCAAAATCAGTTTTAGACACATAATTTTCTTTCAGATTTGGAATGAGTCCAAATAAAGCCTGTCTATGTGCTCTCCCTGACGCTGGATTAGCATATCAGAAGACCGTTTGATGTCAACAGGAAGATGGGGAACAGGCTTCTTTTCATTCAAAAATAAATATACCATATCATGTAAGTATCAGACCATGAAAGAAGAATTTTATGCTTTAATATAGATTCTGAAATCATCATAATTATAATTAACCTGACACTTTACCTTTAAAGTTCCATTATTAAAAAATAAATTGTATATTTAAAAAAGGGCACAATGAGAAAACTGCCCTCAAAATGGAAGATGTGATCGGGCCAAGGACTGTTTCTTTCAACAAGTTAAAGATTTTAACAATGAACTGGCATCAATATAATGCTAGCTAGACAGAATGACTTGGCAAAGTATAAGTATCCAGATTAGTAACATGTTTTTGAAGGGTAATTTTATGAATTTGACTCAATTAATCATAAATCAAAAGCAGTTTTAACATGTCATTGGTTATCTCCCAATATTTTTTACATGCCTGTTTAAACATGCAGTTTTTCAACCATTCTTGAGTACAAAAAAAAATTTTTTTTTTGTGAGAAAAACCAGTATCTATGATGAGAAGAGCCTGTCTGTTCTGATGGTGGCACTGTTGGCTATCTCTTAAGAGGATGAATAGAAAAAAGGCAATAAAAATCTGAATTCTTTTTACTATTGGTAAAATTTATATTAGCACTATAAAAGGACTCACATAATGCCAATTTTTTTTAAAAAACCTTTTCTTTACTTATTCTAAGATATACGTATTTTTTTAAAGTTAATTATCTAGTCAAATAGCGTTACTGTTCAAAAATCCTATCTTTCTCTGAAAAACAGACAATTCAGCTCCAGATTTGGGGGAAGAAAATCTAATACCAACATATAGGAATAAAAAATGTACATTTATTTGTCATGTGGTACGTTTTTAATAAAGCTAAATCATTTTAAAGGGTTACTATTAATAAAGATTTCTATGAAAAAAATTTAAAAGATATGTCACTTTTACTACGTTATAAAACAGAATTTTAACCACTTATATCTGAAAATAAAATATCTAAAAAGTCATGAAAGACAGAAATTAGCACTCAGATATACCTGATCATTTGGACAGAATTTTTATTGTCTTTTTTTTTTTTAAGGTGGGTTCATCTTTTTTTTATGCAAAGCTTCAAATACTGTTTATTTTAAAAGCATATTTTCTACCTCCATCAACATTCAAACAAACATTGAACATTATTCATATCAGAAAAAGAAAACCAGATATAATAAAAAGCTAAGCAGTGTATTTGGAAAACACATACACAAACGTCAGATTATGCTGCTCTCTCACTTATATGTACCAAGATGACCAACGTCTCACCTAGGTGGGGCTCGGCACCCTTGGTAAAACATGCAGAGTCAGTGAGGCGAGGCTAGCTGGTGCAGGCTGCCTCCACACGAGGGCTTTTTCGAAAATGGGCACAGCTTTTTTTTTTTTTTTCCATTGTCAAACATTCTCTTACAAACTAAATGCCCCAAAACCAAATTATACAGCAGACACTGCCTATCAAGTACCAGTTTTGGGGAAGGAGTCACTTGATTCCTCAGTCTGGATACTCCTACTCGAAGCAGAACATACATTTCTTATTTCTATGTTCTGCAATTCCAGCATTCCTCCTTGGGAAAAATTTTTATCACTATTACACAGCATAAACTCATCAACAGAGAAAGAATAGAAAATTATCTTGTTGGATCAAAAAAACAAGCTAATTTCTATAGTGTGTCAAAACATCTAACCCTACGGTTTAGTATGTTCATGTTTAAAGAAGGACGTTTCAGACAAAACACCCAGATCCATAGGGTCTGCTTTGTGAGTGTGCAGCCTGCACAGTCACATGGGCCCTGCGCTGAGTCTAATGCTATTTCACCAGCTAGAAATTCCTAGTCATTTGTCCCACGGGGACCCAAGACAGTGTAGCTGGTTCCAGGAAGTACAAAACCAACAACTTTGGGAAACAAGGTACTGCTGTAGTTAAAAAAACAAAACCAAAGAACAACAAACACAGTCCTGGTAGGCAAGTCGTTCTCAAAGAAGATTAGGAGAAACAGTAATTAAATAGTAAGAAATAATGAAGTTATATGAGAACTGGCATTGCAGGCACCAGCTGTTTTCCATCTCTTCCAAGTATCTAACACGAGGAAGTAGGTGATTTATGTTCAGTATTAGGAACTATTTCCTGCTCGGGAGTGTCGTCAAACGTTTAATGTGCCACTCACATAATCCATATGCACCTTTCATAACAGACCTGATGATGAGCCTTAGCAGTAATGGCTGTGTGACCTTGAAGAAGCCACTTAACCTTGCTGGGCCTTGGTTTCCTCACTATATTAAACCGTTTTGGAGATGAACAGAGTACGTGGCGCCTGCTGCCTCTAAAATATCTCAGTTACAAACAAAACACAAAAAACAAATGCCTGATTGGCACATTTTCACACTGAAAAATAACTAATTTTAGTATGCACGGTCCTTTAAATCTTCAGGTAATAACAACAAAGCAAAAATAACAATCATAACACCTCCGAGATCCCCAGAGGTCCAGTTAATCCTATGAATGGTCTTCACATGAGATGACAGGTCAGATTTTTATAATAAGGTAATTACAAGGTAATTAGATCAAACTTTACCAACAGAAACAATATTATGTTCCCAAACATCTCTGTAATTATAATGCATTTTTGTAAGACTACATTTCACAGTGCTTCTTTCAAAGATTTAAAAGCAGAGAGACTGGATGATGGAAAAGACAGGATGCTTCCGAAAGTATTAACTGGCAGTTCTAAGTGTGATTTCTATTACGTATCAATCTTTCTATGGAAACGCTTTTCTTCCAAGGGTATAGGAAGCTCCCAACAGACTAGAGTGCACATGGACGTGCCATGCACAGCCCTGGGTGTTACATGAACGGGTGAATAGTTATGCAGAATGTTGGTGTGCGATACTGATGTGCAATGTGTGAACATTTTCTCCCTTGGCACTCTGAATAAAATCCAGGTATCCCAAGTTGCTTTAGAAGATGCTAGTAGAATGGGCCCGGCAACCAGGGGAGCACTAAAAAAAAAAAAATAAAATGCCACCTGCATCTAATTTTATCCTCTTTGATAAAATACTTCCCACCCAAGCTCTACTCTCTTTTTCCTTTCCTATAAATGTCAGAAAAGCTAAGTGTACTCAGCTGCTTCTAATTATAATTTAATAGACTATCAATGTAATCCATCTATTCCCCAAAGTCAAAATCATACAGGTTAATAATAGAAGTAGAAAACATATTTTATCTTATGGTAGAAAATGTGAAACATATAAGATTTTTTTTCCCCTGAGTAATTGAGCCTTGGGGGAAAAAAAGAGAAAACCTTATTTACCAAACAAAAAAAATGAGCTCCTATAAAGTCACGATGTTCTTCAGCCTAACCCACAAAAGTTGCCTTCTAAATGTTGGTATATCATTATCAAATAAACTTGGAATATTTTTAAAAATCAATGAAAAAAGGAAT